GACCGCATTCCAAGGGTCCTGTGGGACACGTTGGCGGATGAGTCCTTCTCCCCGAGACAGACGGACGGGGAGCTACTGGTCCTGATGTGCCTGCGCCATGGCACGGCAGAGGAAGGGAGGCAGCTGGGCGGGGAGCCGGCCATCCGCTTCGCTCAGCTCCTGGAACTCTCGGGCATTCCGGTGGGCCAAGATGACCAAGTGGTACCAACGGACTACTTCAACGGCCTGGTGGCGTTGGCGGCGGGCAGGCTTCCCCTGGCAAGCCGAGCGAGAACTTTTCCCCGCTGGAGAATGAATGGGACCGCCAGGACCAACTGAGGTGGTTCTCGCGAGATGACCCACCCCCACTCCAACAGCCAGAGCTTCTGAAGTGGAGGCACTGGAGGCCCGGGAAGATCAGGGAAATGGAGCCCACGACCCAGCGAGCGCTGGAACTCCATATGCGCGGGAAATGGGCGGAACGGCTCCTTGCCCACTTCGCCCCCTTTGCGGAGCACATTGCATACATGCAGGACATCCTGGGGGAGGACTTCCGCAAGGAGGCATTGGACCTCTTGGGGGACAGCAGGTTCCGGACGCTCAGGCAACATTGCCTGGTCTACGAGAGTCTCCGCAAGAGAGGCTTCACCGTCATTCCATGGCAGGAACGACATGTCCGCTCTCTCCTCAACCAGCTCGCCGATGAGGAGGTCACCCCGTGCAAGTTGCGGCAGGTGTGGAACACCCTCAAGTGGTTCTCAAAGACCTTCGGATTGCTGAAGATAGATGAGCTCCATCGCCTCAAGTCCAAGAAGAGCTCATTGGAAGAGGCGCTCACGGACACGGTCACCAGGCCACAGCGTAAGGCGGTGGTCCCCAGCAAAGAGGTCATTTGGGCTCTGGAGGAGGGGGCCGGCTACGATCGCCTGGGTGCCACCGGCCCCGGCACGCAGGAGGCCCCGGGAAAGAGCAGACACGAGGTGCTGGACGCTTTCATCCTGGGTTTCGCCCGGTTCCAGGTTGGTTGCAGCGCTCGCTTCAATGACCTCCAGCACGTTCACCCCAAGGACCTTATCCACACCAGCAACACTGTGGAGCTGAAGGCCTGGCAGACCAAGACGGTCTCTGCAGCACGAATCAACCGCAACCCGGTCCCCTTGATTGCTCCGAAGTACAGCTTCACGGGAATCCCCTGGTGGACTACCTGGGTGGCCTCGGTAAGGCGGTTGGTATCCGAGGAGGCATTCCAGGACATGGATTACTTGCTCCCGACGGTGAGCAAAGACTTTGCAGGGCTGATCCCGCGGCCTTCCACACCGGAAAGGGCTCTGAGATGGCTCAAGGATGCTATTCTCCGTCGGGGTGTCACCCCGGTTGGTGAAGCCGCTGTCGTGGCACTCGTTCCGGGTGTTCATCCCGGACTGCGCCTTCCAGATGGGGATCCCCCGGGAGCGCCGCATGTACCTTGGCAACTGGCTCACGGAGAGCACGGCAGATGTCTACGTGCGGGAGAAGCGCAACGTGGTTGTGGAGATCTGGGGCCAGGTAGCGCAGAAGGTCCCCAACCTGAACCTCGGGCCAGGCAGGGAACGCAGGGAGGACTTGAATCACCCGGACTGGGCGGACCCGCTCCCGCCGCCAGCGGTGGACATCACGGACGCAGGACCGGAGGGCCGCGAGGACCAAACTGAAAGGGAAGGGGAAGCATCCCCTTCGGTACCCTCAGGGAGCGCGCCATCGACTCGCTCATGGTCAGTGGTGGAACACGGACCCGAGGACACACCGGTGAAGGCTAAGGACCTGTTTCCCGCCACCCCGGACCTCCCCCTTCAGGTGGTGGCGGCGGTCAAACGCACAGGCAACGCCGGCCAGTCCAGAATCCACCTGCTGAATGTCGAAGCCACGGCTGTGGGGTGTGGTTGGCGACCGGCGGCCTCTAAGGTCCAGGAGCTCTCGGACTACATGACGGAGCAGGAGGCCTATGGCAAGTGCGAACGTTGCTTCAAGAGGCATGGCTTCCCGGCGGACTGGGCACTGGAACGTGCGGAGGTCCCCACGCTGCAGGAGGACTCGGACTCCTCGGCGGACTCGGGCTCTGAAACGGATGACTCGGTGGACACCCAGTCGGAGACCGAGGTGGTGGCCCCACCGTTGGCAGCCTAGGTGCGCCCGGCCCTGGCGACCAAGGGGATGGGAGGCCCGGAGCGGGGCCATGGCCAGGGTTTTCAGCACAGACTGGCATCCTTCGGAAATGGCGCTATCAGTCTGCACACCCGGCACCAACACTGCTCGGATAAAAGAGTTATCGCGTGCTTGTGTGTGGTGCCGTTTGGTTAGCTTGCATACACTTTGTTAATGTTGAAACGCATGTGGAAACATGAACTGTGTTGGCAATGCTTGACCATAATGGCGCATGCCATTTTGGCTCAAGCTTTGCCCTTGGGTTCTTTGAACCCAACTTGTGTGAAAAACCCACCCACCCACACCAAGGTCGGAGGTCATGGCGGCCAAACCACCGGAGGAGGTCCCAGCAGAGTTCAAGGAGGACGTGGCAAAGTTGCACAAGCCACTGGCGGCCATCCTGGTGGGGAAGGAGATCCCCTGGGCCACCCAGGCGGCTCTGGGCGCATCGGGATACGTCACGGTGGAAGACCTGGCGGATCGCTGGGACACCCCGGGAGAATGGTCCCCAGCACCCGCCCAGACCTCGGCCTTCACGGCGATGCGCCTCCTTCAGGCAGTCCGGGTGGCAACTTGGTCCGGGGGGGCAACCAAGGTGATCACCCGGCGGGCCAGGCGGGCCCGACAAAGGCGCCCTTGGAGGTCCTGTGTGACAGGCGCCAGCTGGAAGATGCTTACGTGGCCACGCATGGGACCCCGAAGCCGAGGTTGGAGTTCCAAGGGAGTGATGGCTACCTCAAGAAGCAGTGGCGCATGATTGCCAAGGGTGAGCTGGGCTACATCCCGGCAAAACACATCGTGAGCGCGCTCCCGGAAGAAGGGGAACGCCCCTCATCCACCCACAAGAAGATCACGGTGGACGGCTGGGACAGGGAGGATGAAGAAGAGGTGAGGAGCCACCCTACATCCCGGCGCCAGCTGGAACGTTTGCACCTAACCTTCAGGACGACGCTCCTGATGTGCACGGCAGCACTGCCACAGTTTGGCAACCTGAAGGTCACCAAGGAGGAGCTGGATGATTGGTATGCCTGGTTCTATGGGGAAGACATCGCCGGCAGGAAGCCTCCCCCGAGCGACACCACCTTGCTGTTTGCAGAGCGCAATGCATGGCGCAAGATCCACGAGATGGTGCACCAGGGCACCACTCTCTCCGATGCCCTCAAGAATATCAGGGGCGACTTCCTCTTCTGGCAACGGGAGGTCTATGAGCACCTCAACAGGGCGCCGGAGAAGGGGAAGAGCAAGGGCAAGGCACCCAAGGTGTGGCAGACTCAGTGGGAGAAGCCCAAGAAGGGGGGGAAAGGCTCCTGGCCCTCGGGACCGACCCGGTCCAAGCCGAAGGGCAAGGGCGGCAAGGGGAAGTCCCCCAACACCCCCTCGGTTCCATGGCCGGACCACTGGGCTTTCAAGAATCCCAAAGGGGTGGCGTACTGCAGAGATCATCACCTCCACAACAAGTGTTCGGGATCATGCGGCCGATCCCACAACTGCCCGGTCAGGAAGGATGGGTGGGTTTGCGATGCCCCCCCATCGAAGCATGTGCCACAGGCATGCCCTCACCTTCCCAAGTGACAGGAGGCCACTCAGGGTGCCATAGGCCCCGTGGCTTCCCGGTCTCAGTTGGGACCACAGGCCACCAGTGCGAGAGTGCACACAGAGGGGGAGAGCCAACCCCACCAGAGCCACAGCGGAAGGCAGACAGAGCGGGGGAGGCCAGGACGGCCTCAGATGGGAGGGGACTTCTCCAGGGTGCCACCGGCCCCGGAAGCCCCTCCACCGAGGAAGAGGAGCGGTCCCAGCCAGGGCACTCCAGAAGGGCGGAAGCATCCCTTTCCCCCGCACCCACCGAGGCAGTGGGAAGACCCCCCAGAGAGACCCAGAGGTGAGGATCCGCCCGGCAAGGGGCGTTCCAAGGGCGGGAAGAACCGCCAGGGCAAGCAGCAAGCCCAGGGACAGATGACGGGAGGGTCAGACAAAGGACACACGGAATCCCTAGGGGGGGCAAGCCCCACCTTCCCATGGATGCAGGACATCCCGGAAAGACTGAGGCTCAGACTGAGGTGGACGCCACGGCCGGTGCCGGAGTCGTCAAAGCCGTCCCTCATCCTGCTGTACGCTGGGAAGGATGATGCGGGGGCCCTGGATGCTTACCTCCATGCCTACAACCCGGCCTTCTCGGAGTACATTTGGGCGGTGGACATCAGGCGAAAGGGGGGAGACCTTGGACAGGACATGCTGGGCGAGGAGCCTTACTCTACGATGTGCTCCAGGGCCATGGCGGGCAAGGTCGCCTTGGTGGGGGGCGGTCGGATAAAAGAGTTATCGCGTGCTTGTGTGTGGTGCCGTTTGGTTAGCTTGCATACACTGTCTGGTTTAAAGTTGGGCCTCCGAAACAGGTGGTTTTCTTTTTGGTGTCCGTTTGTCACAAGAAAGGACCCTCAAAAACAGACACACCAAAAAAGGACGAACTACGAACGGTCTCCGTTCGGCTTCTTTTTCAACCATCTCCGGCAAACAACGACACACACAATGTGAGAGAAGGTCTGAAATATCCAGCAGACCATTGTCCTTTTGGGCTGCTAAGTATCCCACACAAATCCAGGAGACGGTCTAGGCACACTTCTTGCAGGTACCTGTGTTGAGCAAGCAGTGAATTTCTGGAGGATAATGCTGCATACCCCCAAAAAGTCAAGAAAACCAACAAACCGCCGGTTTCGCCCCCAAGTTTCGTTGGTTCCTCCCCCAAAGCAAGTCCACCCAAAACATCCAACAACTCAAGAGGGCCCATTTTTCGTCCAGTGCCCTCCTTCCGAAACAGTGCCGATTGTTTTGTTCGCGAGGCCAATACGAGTTCTCGGGCACCGGGCGCCCCACTTTGGTGCTGAGCTCGAAGGGGCGAAGTCTGCTGGCCAGCGGGATGATCGGCCAGCGCCAGGCAGCGGAGCCGAGTGGGGTGGGGAGCTCCTCACTTCCTGAGTTTTTGGATTTTGAACTTTTAAGGTTTGGACCATTTTAGTGACAAACCAAAACTGGGGATACTTATTTTTTCGGACCATCAACTCCGGAAGTGAGGTGCTGAGGGTGCGAAGGGGCGGGTTTGGGTTTGGGCAGAATGTGGTGAACCCGCAGTATGGTGGGTGGGTGGGCGGGCAGGCGGGTGGGGTGGGGTGGGGTGGGGTGGGGTGGGGTGGGGTGGGGTGGGGTGGGGTGGGGTGGGGTGGGGTGGGGTGGGGTGGGGTGGGGTGGGGTGGGGTGGGGTGGGGTGGGGTGGGGTGGGGTGGGGTGGGGTGGGGTGGGGTGGGGTGGGGTGGGGTGGGGTGGGGTGGGGTGGGGTGGGGTGGGGTGGGAGGATTCCTCACTTCCTGAGTTTCTGGATTTGAGCCACTCTCGGAGCAGACCGACTGAAAGTGGCAAAAAGCATGTCCTGGGACGTTGTTCTGGCCAAATCCACTCTGGGCGTTAATTAAGCAACCAGACACTCACCCTTCCAGGAAAGCCCAAACAAGGTTGTTTGAGCAATATGTGTTTAGCCATGATGAACTAGGGGGTGGGCCCAACCCCAGTGCCGGGCATTTTGCGTCGACCGGTGTTGTGCGAATTCACAGCTCGAGTGTTTTTGATTGAATGATAGGGCATGGGGCCGACTGTGGGTGCCGTGCGTTGTTTCCCAGCAACCAATTTCTCCAAAACCGGAAGCCGGGCCGCTTAACCTTCCCATGTGGCGACCAATCCGGCAATTTCTCCCATGGCGTGAACCAATTGTGTCACTGACGCTGCCCAGAGTTTCTGGGCTTTACACCCTGGACGTCCACTTTAGCGGACAATTTGTTGGTCACCCATCCACTTGAGTGGCTTTTGACTGTAGGCGATGAGCCAAACGGACGTGGCGCAGCTGCGGGACCACTACAACTGCCGCTTGGCCGAGCGCAGAGCCACATCCTCAAAGCCCATTGGGGCAACTGCTTGGCTGCTCTTGGGTTGCGTCTTTACCCTTTTATTTTCAGGGAAAAGAGGGATACAGATACAGTCCAACCCAGAAATGGGTGCCGTCGGCAAGCCATCTGAATATCAGGTGTTGATTGTTGCTCAGATGTGTTTAGGATCCCCACGTCCCCCATCTCGTCCAAGCGGAGGTCCCTATTTTGAGACGAACCTACGTAATATTATTACTCAGTATTACCTGCACACAGCAGACTTTACATGTCCAGTCCATGTCCATCCCCAACATCATTTTTTTCTCGGGAGGGGCTGCACATGCAGCGGCCTGTGTTACTGTAGGTTGGTTTCCTTTGCTGAGTAAATTGAATATTATGCATTAGTATATTCACATATCATAAACATACAACATGGAGCGATGAGTTCAGCCACATCAATCCACTTGGTTCGGATAAAAATCGCCGTGTGCTTGCCCTGATACGCGTGAAGTGGGGGAGGCCGGGAGGACCTTACTTCTGACTTGGCATGGGCATATGCTCAACGCTCGCGGTAAGGCAAGCCGGACAGCCGGGGCATCTACTCTGAGTGCAAACCTGTTGCTGCACAGACGGACCTGCTGCCGATTCTGCTCGGCGTGTGCCGCGGCGACCCAATTCGGGACCCGAACGCTACGGCGCTGGGAGCAGGGTCAAAGCAGCAGGTGTTGCCCTGCGCTTTTGCGGAAAATACGGGTGTAGCTGAAAAGTCGAGAGCCAGGGTTACGCAGTTGTTGGTCTTTGTTTTCATTTGCCAGGGTGCCAGTTTGGGTGCATTGTTTGAGCCACACCCGTATGCCTTGTTCTTTTGCGGGTTTGGGAAGCTTGTTTTTTTTTGCTTTTTACATAGCTTCAGGAGCAGACGTGTGGGCCGAGCTTGGCTACCCGCCAATTCCTACATCTCTTCAACACCACTTGTGTGGAGGGTGGGACAGGAATGGGGGGGGGGGGGCAACTGCCAACATTAAGTTTGCTTGGCTGTTTCCAACATCTGGAAACTTTGGGCCTCTGCCCAAGACAAGCTCTGGGGTCGCTCTGAGCGGCTGCGGGTCAGGGTTCCGGAAGCGTTCTGGGGGTTGCTGTTGTGGATACCACCTGAGTGACCTGGGTTTATCTACTGCTTACTGCTTACCTCTTAAAAACACAACTTTTCAACTTTTTGGGTAACATGGGCTATATGTCTGTAAAAGATTAACTTCCCCAGGGCTTGGAGTTTTAAGGGGTAAGACTGGCTTTCTTAGTTCCTGGACTTTAAACCTTTTGAGAAGACCGTTTGAGTGGTAAATAGTATTAAAAAAAAAAAAGCTTCGACATGTTCTAGCCACTCCACTCAGGAAGTGAGTCTACCATTTGTTTGCGGAGGACATGGGACACCTTCCAAATTCCCCACAAACCAACAGCCATCATAGCTGAAGCATCCAATCAAAGCCCCTCACAGCAAGTGAGAACCTTCAGCGAAGAGGTGCTCTTCTTGTGTCAAACATGTCTAATCCGAGTCTGCCGTTGGAGTTCTAGCTCACAGATGTTGTGGCGCGACCCTCAGGAAGAAGTCGTACAAGCGCTCGTGACAATGTTGCCAGGAGATGTAGCTCCTCTAAGTGGCCTGTTCGCTCCCAGTTTCCGTGCAAACTTCCCACTAAGCAGACACCAGCCGGAAGATCATAACGTTAAAGCAAACGTATACATTACCACGGCGGGATTGGGCAAATGTGCACCACAAGAAAAAAACAATCTATGTTATGTACACTTGACTCAATTGCGGACATGACCATGTTGGCGGGGTGTTAGGCTTGTGCATTGAGTCTTGTCTTGCGATGTAGTTTCCACCTGGCACACTTCTGCTGGGGTCACAGGTGCACAGGACAGCCCAATTGTGCCATGTTCTTTGGGGGAAAGAATGTTAAGAAGCCCAGGTTGTTGTTTTTGTTTGGCCTTTCTTTGGGTTGGTTCAACAGGAAAGCAACAGTGAACTCCTTTTGCAACCGATTCCGAAAAGCGCCGCGGCTCCATGTGACATTTGTAACAGGGACGCCACGGGGAAGCCCACTGCGTTCACGTCAGCGTTCAGCGCCACTTTTGTTGCGCGGCAAGTGCACCTGAACTGACCTTGAATGTGAGAACCACCCATTTGAGAAGCACCCATTTTGACAAGTACAAGAACAGAGCAAAGAAACACCCAAGATAATCATAGATCAATCCAAGAGCATGCAAGTTAGGAGCAAGAACGTACCAACACCTGCTGGCCGAGGGCAGGGGTTCTCGCAGCTGGTGGCGTTGGGCTCTACTGCTTCTTCTGCGTCTGCCGCCGGGAGCCGCAAAGCCTGTGTTGGTAGGTGGTTCTACCACTGAAAGGGGCGATGATCGATTCAGTACGTCAGGTAAGTGGCTAGTAAGCCTGGTTATACTGCACTTGCCATTGTAATAAGTCTTCTTTCCGTGGGTGAGAACCAGGCTTACCCACTTACCTGACGTACCCGATCGCCCCAATAATAAGTACTGTGCTTAGGGATAGTGTCAGTCCCTGAGTTCCGTTTCGGACGTGATTTTTTGGGAAAGACCGTCGGACTTGCACCTCTTGTTGGCCAAGCCACTTGGGAGGTAAAATCCACTTTGGGAAGTTTAGTGCGGCCCATCCACTTGAAGTGATCCTGGAATATGTTTTACAATCATGTTGGTAAATCCGCAAAATTCGCTGGGTCTTGGGCACTGCTCATTTGCTGACGGAGATGTGGATGTATTGTTTTAGGGTGCCGTGGCTTAAGAAGAAGCTGACGTAGGTTGGAACTCCCGAGTTATCTTGTTTTTTCCGTTCAAGATTGGAAGAAGCTGACAAAAACAGTGTCCTGATCCAAAAGGACCCTCAAAGTAGAGTTTTCCCTTGGTTTCCCTTTGAATATCAATCCTCTAGAGGTCCCTAAGCGGGGAAGTCACAAACGGGGTTTCCCTCGGTCAATGAATTCGGTCTGGTGCTAGCGGCATGGTTGTGGAAGAATCGGTGCTAGGCCGCGGCTTTCTGTTATTCGGGGAAAGATGGAGATGGTGTTTTGTATCAAAGAAAGCTGTGTTTTCCCCGACCATGATGGTCCGGAAGTTCCTCGCGTCTTGCCCGTTGAGTTTGCACACTGACTAAGTCTTTGGTCTGTAGATGTCTTCATCAGTGTAGTATAGGCCGAAAGTCCAGACCGTTGTTTTAACGCCAAAAAAGGAACGGCGCCTCACGAATCGGAATCACGTCTAGTTTGAGAGGAACAATCCAAGTTTCCCACCAAAACTAGGAAAACAACCCAATGCTTGTTAGCCGCACGTCCACTGACGAGGGTATTTAACCCTGCCCCAACTTGATGCAGGGAAGCAACCCAACTTTCCTCTGTCCACCTGGGGAAATATGTTGCCGAGATGCATGTTTAAGCTGGGGGCAATGGCCCCCGTTTGACCTTGGCCCCCGAACCCATTTGTTCGACCCTATCGCCGCGAGGTAAAGCACGGCTTGGGGGTTGCGTCAAACGCCACGGTTTGGCTGAAGCACGGATCGTGTCCACAAATCAGCTTGAGGGCATGGTGGTCCCCTTTCGGTGAGAGACGCTCAGGCCGCAAGGCGGTGTTTGCCGGCACCTTTGGATGCAAGTCGCAGGTGGTTGGAAGTCGGAGGTAGCCAGTTGGGTCTCAAGGGCAGAGAAGAACCCACTTTGTTACGGGCGTCCTCTCCACAAGTTGGTGTATCGTTTTTTGGCGGACCCAGACAATTTCCCCGTAAAACCAATCAGAAAGGAGTACCCTTGAAACAAAGAACCCCAAGTGCTTTGATATAGGCATGTAGAGTCGGGCCCGGGTTTCTGGTTTGGTGACTTGTGCTGAGATCAACTTGGCAAGTACCAACCCACTGGAAACCAAAGCGCTTGTTTACACCATGGTAGACTGTTTGCTTAGCAACCTCCTGTTCGTCGATCAACGGAATTGGGTCTGGCTGTCGAAACAAATTTGGCCCTGCCGCTTTTCAGTCGAAGGATCAGAGTTTCTCGCAACTGGGGGATACTTTTATCCGGAGGGTTATTTGTTTGGGACATGTTCCCGGACCCCTCTAATGTTTGAAGGTTGGGGATCCAATGCTTAATGATGAAAGCGACTTTGTTGCTTGGAGTTGTGTTAAGTGCGCGGGGAGGGGGGGTGGGCAATCGTCCCGAGATTAAACTTGCAAACAACACGCACAGACTGCACCCGATTTTGTGTTTTGTATTTTGCGGTCTGCAGTTGGGTTGGACTTCGTTGAGGAACAGATCTAACATCTATTTCAAGATATTTCAAGCCACTCCTCTACTACTAAATCAATTACCCGGGTTTTTGATTTGCGGTTCCTGCGAATGGTCCCGGGGATTTCAGTTAGTGCATGCTTTGTCTTCTTACTAAGGGATAGGATGGGAAAGCAGTAAACGACTGGCCTCTTTGCATGTTTCCTGGGCATCCACACTCCCCCGTCAAAAAGGGCAAGAAAATTGCTTTTCCTTTCGTTGTTTCCTTAGTTTCTTGCCTTTCCCTGGCTTTCCCTGGCTTTCCCTGGCTGCCACAGCTCAGGGGAGTCGCTTCCGTTGTTGCCAAGTTTTGGACGTCTCCTAGAATGATGGAAAGCGGCTTTTGGGTTGATCAACGCTGGGATCATCAATTAAAATGCTAGGGTGGGGAGGCAGTCTGGAATTAAACAAGTGCAGAGCTGATGCAGTGGATGTTGGAGATGCATTTGTTCAGTGTGTTTGTGTGTTTGTTTGTTTTTTTCAGGCCTATTAGTTTTCTAGCCGCAAGTGCCTGTTGCAGATGATGCTGGTGATGCTGGAGATGCCAGCTGGTGATGCTGGAGAAGCCAGGGATGCTGGCTGGCTGGTAACGAGTTCGTTCGTTCGTTGTGTTAACATGTAGATTGACGTGTAGAGTCGTTGTAGAGCAAAATTGCCATGCTAACTGATTGCAAAACAAAATCTATTGGACAGGAATTCCTGTCTACAGAATTGAGTTTGACATTGAATAATTCTGAAACACATCACTCACTTGAAATAGACATCTGTTTCGGTCTGTCATGATTTGTCCTTGTTAAATTCTATGTATATTCACTAAGAACTCGAGTAGAAGTGGTGGAGACATGTCAGAGGTCCAACAATTGTGTGTGTGTGTGTGTGTACCTAGCCCCAAGCACTATCATGGACTCGATGAGGACATACTTCTTTGCACCCTACAGGAAATTCACTCTTAAATCGTAAAGTCAGGTCGAATTCCTTGCCGAATACATGTCCGCTCACAGGTTCGTCATGGAACCGGTGTTCTTTTGTTTTACTAGTTTCGGTTGGGGCTGAAGCTGGTTGGTGGCAGGTTGGGTGGCTGGCTGCGTGATTTTTACTTGCTGGTTGTGGGGTGCTGCATCCCAAACATACAATAGCCAAGAGACTGCAATGAACACCAATTTCTACCAACAAACAAAACAGAGACACTTGCTGGTTTGCCCAGCTGGATTGCAGACAATGCACCAAAGGCGGTGGTGTGAATTTAGAGGACTGTTTCGATGAGGGGTGGTTTAGATGATTCCCCCAAGTTTAGTGAGGAAGCACGTATGAACTCGGAGAACGGGATTCCGAAGTGAAGGTTCGGAAGGTCAGGAGATATGGTTGGGTGTTTGGCCTCAAGCCTAGTTTCTATTGCGGATGCAATTATTGTTTTTATTAATGGCATTTCAATCCAAACAAATCGGTTCCCAAAGGGGCCGAGAGGCCGGGGAACCAGTTTGTTTGCGGTTGTCTATTGTCTACATGGTGAAAAGGAGCCTGAGGGGCCCAGATATTGGGCTTCGGTGTTCTTGCTTCCTTTTGCTTTGCCTAACCCAACAAGGTTCTAACCAAAACAAAACCACACGCTCATGGATTTGGCTTAAAATAGGAATGCAACGGTTTTCTGTTGGTTTCCCCCTATTTTGAGACATTTCCTTTCTTTAGGCTAGAAACAACGCCACTTTGCCGAATGTTGGCAAGTTTCCTCGTGGGTCGGGGCAGTCAGCTTTTCCCTGATCCGTAGCTCGAGAAGGGGCCACTGGTTACTCACGACACATCAGGGAATCAGGTCTAGGACCCAACCGATCTAGGGCAAGTTGGACACCCTCAAGGCTTTTGGGGTGGTGTCTTCCCAGATGAATTCGCCTGGAGCACCAGACCATCATGTTGGAGATGTTTGCTTGTTTTTTTCGAGACTCTGGCGTTCTGGGTTCCACGTGAATCTGCATGGAGGGGCCACTGGATTTGTGCACTTTTCGAAAACTGACCTTTTTGACCATTTTGTGTTTGATCATTTTTAGTGAAGGTTCCAAATTTAACCTTTTCTACCTGCTCTATGGACATCGAGATCCAAGAATGGAGGATGAAAGGTCCAATGATGCTGGCGGTGAGTCTTTTGGGAAGATCACTGTCCCTTGAGTGAGTTGGGGATAGACACCATCAATGCTCGGATCCTAAGGCACGGAATCCCGACCGATGCTGCGCGGGCAAAGGCGGGCATCACCTGGCTAGCCTCAATCCGCTGCAAGAAACCAACCCTAAACCACCCTAACCAGCCTTAAGTTCGTTAACTTCAATCCTACCCTAAGGCCAACCCTATACCAGCCCTAACCAAGCCAACAGGGAAATTGAACCCTTCCGAAGCTCATGCTAGGCCAACCCAAAAGTAGGCCACCACACCCGACAGAAAGCTCACCCTAGAGCGACCCTAAATCATCAATCCCGTCGCTGATCTCTAGTACCGTCAAGGGCGTACCACTGGGGTTGACCCCAAATTACTGAGAAGCCATTCGCTCTTAGCGTTCTGCTCGTTTGGACTTCTTGTTTGGCAACAGCCCTCGATTATCCAGGGGATGTGTGAAAAATAGAGAGGGACCCCCAAACCCATACCGCCCAAAATAGGGGAGTAGCCCTGAGAAATGGCACCAGGGGCAGTTGGCACCCGAAGAGCCACACATCAGGTCGCATCAGCGGATTCAATGCCTTCCCGCAAATCCAAAGACCCGGTTGTAGTTGGAATCACTGGAACAGAGCTGCTTTTGTTGGTTGTACATACCTTCGTTGTTAGTCAGGGGCCCACACTTTGCGTCAAAGACGCTGGTATTTGGAGTTTCCGGGTTGTCTTCTTCGGCAGGAACCATTCACAGCACTTGGGAAAGAAACGACAATCTGCCTATGATGTTTGGTGATTTCACTGGGGCATACCGCGCTCACCATAGTGTAGTTTCTTTCAAATCATCGCTTATTTCAGGTTTATAGTGAGGGGAATAAGTCTGATGGCTGCTTATCATTAAATGCTGAAGGATTCACCATAAAAGCTTGCAGAATAGTTGAGAACTTCCCAGACGCTCCCGCAACCCCCGCAGGTGTATGATGAAGGCGGGGCGTGGCCAGTAGCGCAAGAAGGGCTACGCGGCTCCAGTGTGGAGGAGCACGTTGTACCCTTGGCTTCGAGTGGCCAGAATCTTCCACGTCCCTGCTTCACCGAGCTGCCGAACAGGTGCTATCTGGCAACAACGCTAATGAGCTGCGTGTTGAACACAGCGCGTTCTTCCAGAGGCGCAATGTGGCAGCTACATGCGCAGCCGGGCTGAAGGACATCCATTCCTGCTGAAGATTAGACGGTGCAATGGATTTATGCTTGGGGCAAGAGCAAGTGCGTAGTGGCTGCGCTTGAGGTACACAAAATTTACTGAGAATCTAGTCTGCACTTTTTTTCGAGGGCAGGGGAGCTGGGACATGGGCACTCACTAAGTTTCCTACATGGGGAACTAATGTATGTTTCCTGTGTCGCGGAATCACGGATTTGTTGGGGATACAAATTATGCGTGCGCATCCACAATCCTTCTGCTCAGCAGACTTCGAGTTAGGGCACGCCGGGTGCAGTTGTTGATTCTAGAGTGATTCCGAACCAAGTATGCCCATAGGAAATTTGTGTGTATAGCATGCCTACTGGCTAGCTATAGGAGAAAGTTTCGGACCCATTCGCCTACAAGGGTAGTGACAGGTAGTGGTTTTGTGAGGGTTGAGGCAATCCTCTCAGAAACCAGCCGCCTGGGTTGTTCAAACTGAATCCTTATTCCTTACGCCAGATGGTTTCTGCGGCATACAGATTCCGATTCGGGATCCCATGTTGAAGAATCCAGTCCGCTGGCTGGTGAAAGTGCATCGGCATTGGAAGGAGCTCCAAGGAGTCAACATCATTGACCCCTTCAAAGCTCAGACGAGGGCAGGACTTTGAAAAGACTGTTTCTGTGACCCTCCGTACCAGCTCTACTCACCATAGATTTCCTTGAAACTCGGGGATAAGAAGTAAATATACATAAGTAAGAAGATCTCTCTCTCGCTCTCTCTCTTTGTGTGTATGTATGTGTGTGTGTACAATATATACGTGTATATATATATATCATAATATATATACACAAATATATATATATATATAGATTTATACACACATTTGGGGCACCTGCCGCGGCCAGGGGCACACGATAATTTCCCGTGAAATAGGTGGCCTCAGGCAGAACCCCTTGTTTTTTGGGCTGTGATACCAAGGCGAACCCAATGTCAAGGGAAAACGTAGTCATGGAGAGGTCTACTTTGGTATCAGGGCGGTTTTCCAGAACCATGCCCAGCAAGACTGGCTTGAGACCTCAAGGTCCGTTTGTCCAGTGCCAGGCGTTGAGACCGAGATGCTGACAATTCGGGTTTGCAGCCAATGCTTCGCTGCAGTGCCAACGGTGTTTTCTCCTTTGGGGTGAAGGAAGCATCATTTGTTGGCCTCTTGGGCAAGTGGGATTGATTAATGGTTGATGTTCCGAGGGGTCGTCGTTTTGGTTCCATGGTTGATGTTCCGAGGGGTCATCGTTGGGGCCCTGATGCTGCACGGATTGAAGGCCGCGAGCTGCTTTCAATGTGCTTATTGCGCATGGCTCAATCACTGAAGAGCGGTGGACGCGGAAAGAAAATGGGAGCCCCGGAAATGTTTAGTTCTCACTTCCCGCGGTTTCGGGGTTTGGACCGGTTTAGAGGTACCCTAAGAATCTTGGGCTATCAAAAAGGGCCCTAAAGTCCAAATCCTTCCAATGGAGGGTCCTTGCTGATGCCTATAGGGTACACAGAAAGTCTGAACGACTTGTTCTGGCCAATCCGCGCTTCTTGGACATTGGTTAACAGGGTATGTGGTTCAATATTTCAAGAGGCAAAACCCGGGACCTCCAGTCTGGGTTGGATGGTTGTAAGAGAAGCCAAAAGAAAAACCCACCATTTCTGGGGTTGAGGATACGCAAAGATACTTTCGGGAACCCCCTTCTTTCAAACAGTCCACCCCCTGGAACGTCTAGGGCCTTGTAGTGGGCCTTGCAAAGGCCACATAAGGCAAGACCCAGGCCGGGTGCGGGGGGGGTGGGGGCGGGGGGGCATTCTGTTGGGGCAGCTTGGCATGGTGCGTGTGGCTCAAGGCCAGCTGCGGGTGGATGTTTTAGATCGCGAGATGATGGGAACCCCGAAGCAGTACAGTTGTGGCAGCATTCTGCGTGCATCCGGGTTCAGGAAAGTGCATTTCGGGGTGTCTTGGATCTTAGGTGCCGACTTTGAACAGGGATGCCAAAAAGAGCCCCAGTTTTTGTCAAAACCCTTTTGAATCAGGATCACAGCTTCCATGCTCTGGATTCGCAGAGCAACATTCCGAGAGCGTAGCCCTGCCATGATCGGATTCCAAAGCGAATGCGGCGAGCCACTTTCACTCAGGCCGGGCCTTTGGAATTCAAGACGCAACGATTGGGTCAAAACGTCCTTATTTGGGGGAAGGACGAGCCCTCATTTTGGCAGTAGTTCATGAGGATGCTCAAGACACCCTTACCTGGAGCTGTCACCAATCCCAAAAAAATAGACAACCATAGGACCAAACCAAAAAGGTCCCGGGAGAACCCAAAGATCTTCCTTTGACCCCACTCTTCCTAGACCCCAGGCCTGTGGCTGATCCTTGTGAAGCAAGACACACCTGTTTTCAGGGTCCCGCTTGGGAACAAGGCGAGTTGTGGTTACCAAGCATCGACTGGCGGAACTTCCCCCATTGACTAGTCGAGAAATGTCAAAACTGAAAGGGAAACACATGCTGCGAGAACGGGTGGAAACCCCCCCCCATTGACTAGTCGAGAAATGTCAAAATCCAAAAGGGAAACACATGCTGCGAGAACGGTGGGCCAGGAATCCGGTTCCTTGCAAAAGGGGTCGTAGTAAGGGAACTCACCCTGGTAGCCCTGCGGCCCAGCCTGTTGCTTCTTGAATCCAAGCTTCAGAGCTGTTGCTCAAAGCGTTTGACGGGTGACAGAAGGTACCCGGTTGCCCCGTGGTGCCCTTTTTTGTTCGGCTTTTTTGGGAAGGGTTCCCCTTTAAAGTCAACCAAGCAAAAAAGGATGCCGATTCTTTTTTGCCATGGAAATCCACTGGGCATCTTATGAAACAGAGTCTGACCAAGCCACGCGAGGATGGCCTCGGGATTCCGGCCGACCGCGCGCCGGACTACCGCCCCGAGGTGCGCAAGAGAGTGGAGAGCCCTTGAGAGTGCGGTCGGGCCGTGGGGGCGGTGCACTCACCGAATCGGCATAGGGGTGTGAAGTTGTTCGTGTGTGTTTTTGCAACCCTTGTTTGGATGGCTTAAAAGGGAAACCAAGAGGAAAACCACCATTGATTGTTATGGGGCCCCCGTTTTAAGACACTCCCAGATGGGACGGAAAGAATGACCGCTCAGCAACGGACAATGGTTCAATTGATTAGGCCCCGGTCCGCTTAGGAACCAGGAAACTGGGTAGGCGCCCCTGATGTCCTCTCCAATCATAGACTTGGACATACCCCACCTACCCATGTGGGATCCATGGTCCTGCAAGGGTATGTGAGTCGGACCGAGAGAACAGCATGCCGCGAGGTTCTGCCGAGCCAACAAATCCAGTGGATTCTTGCGGAACCCACTGAGAATCATAAGCCCGGGGATTGCCTCACGAAAGTGCGGCGTTGGGCACACCGGTCAACTGCACGCACAAGGCCTTTCAGGGCTTCATGCGAGCCAGTGAGATTCTCCTCAAGGAGGAGTATGGATGGAGAAAGCGCAAGACTTCAGTGATCACACACGGACAAGAGTTCTTGTGCCAACCACCAACCCTCGACCCGCGGAGGTTGGGGATGCAATTGGCCGTCCTGAATGATTGAATGGACGTTCAGGGACACAAGGTGCACTGCCTACCTGGCTAGCTGGCGCCTACTGTGCTTTGCTCCTTGAAGGCGGATGGCGGATTCCAGCAGTCGGACAAGCAGTTCTTCGATTCATGAATACGGGGTGCGGAGTCGCCAATCAAGATCATGAGGTCGTCACCTTGATGAAGGCTTTTTGGCTCTTCAGGTACCTGCTGGGCAAAACAAGAATGAATACCAACATCTGCTTCCCTGCAAAGCGGAACCCGCCTAGGTGAGCACCCGATATTCACTCACCACATTGCCAGGAGCTTCGTGGCTCATATTAGCCACCGTTAGCATTTATTGCGCGCCCCAACAATATAGATGTTGATGGTGAGTAGCCGCCATTCTTCCTCAGAATTTGCGTATCAGTGCTGTTTGATCTTCTTTCCGGATCAACCACCACTAGAACGGTCTTCCAACCGGTGACTGGAAGTGGACTCAACGGCTGGCTGAGCGCTGGGGGAAACAAGGTGAGATTGGGTCACACTTTCCAGTTCATGTGAGTGGTGATCAAACACCCTTTAACTTAGAGTTGGCAGGGACGGTGATCAAATCTTTAGGCAGGTTAGACAACCATTAAAGGGTTGATTGCTCGCGTGGCTATGGCTACATGGGTGTTCCTACCACAAGCGGGACCTCCTACAGGTTGGTTTCCATTGAACCAGAAGCCCCTATGAAGAATAAACCCCAAGTCCCTTTAAGCTTGATCTTCCACCTTCTTGAAACACACCACATACACACACCCACACACCCTTGGGGAAGTCAAACCTCGACGAGAAGTGAAGCTCTGTTTGGGCAGAGTTATGCCCACTTGCATTGTTTAAATGCTAGTTGCAAATACTGCATGATAGATGCGGAAAACAACCCTACCCAATTTGCGGAAACCCCCACCAAACCCCCCCCTTCCCCGCTCCCCCCTCCCCCCAATTTGGTGTGTTTGTGTGTTTGTCTTGTTTTTGAAATCGCTCGCCCTTTCACCTTGCTTGTTTAGGGACACCTTAAAAGAACAAACACATCAAAGCAAAAGGTGCCCACCAACCCCCACCTGCCCTCCTTCCCCCCCCTTCCCCCCTTCCCCCCCCACCCACCAACCACCTGCTCCCCCCTCCCCCCCCCCTCCACCCCCCCGCGCGAATGGGTCGCTCGTTCGCTGCAGGTGGACGTGGAGCGCTTGGCCCAGTACTTCAACCAGCGCTATGGCAGCCTGGAGGAGGCCCGCAAGGCCCTGGACCCCGAGGCCGGGGCTGTAACTCTCCTCGTCTTGTTCGTGGTCCCCTCGTGTTTCACGACCTTTCTTTCGAGCCTGTCTCATGAGCTGTTACACCGCGCAGTCACTTCAACAGGTGCGCAAGTAAGGCACGCGCGCACACACACACACACACGTTTGGTCTCAAAGTCTGGAGCTCATGCCTGGACAATAAGCAGCAACTTGCCTATCCAAGCAAATTGACAGATTTGTCAACACATCGACACACACACACACGCACACACTGACCCACACACACACACAGAGCCACACCCTAGTTATCACCCAGCCTTCTGTCCACTCCGCGATTCACATAGATGTTGTTTCGCTGAGGTGAACTTCGAGCTGAGTGCCTTCGAGCAAGTGCTCAAGAAGTGGGGCGTCAAGGCGAGCATCTGAACGCGTTGCTTGGGCTTTCCCCGCTCCCCCACCCAACAACATGTCTTGTTCTTTCGTTTTCTTTTTGTGGGGGCTTGATTTTGAAGAACCAGGTGTCCCATTTTTTCTTACTTCTTTCTTTGGTCAGCTGACATCATAACTTCAATAAGTGGATGCTTGGAATGGGAACCTGAAGTCACGGAGGTTCCATCAGGGGACTCCCGGACGGGTAAAAGGCACTGGTCGGTGGACTTGTTCACTATACCATTGTTCTCCTGGAGCTTCCATTGTTACATAGATTTGTGTCACGAGCAAAAACATGCTCGCGCCAAATGATTCATGTGCGCTCGTTTTGCGGGCATTTGCGCTCGTTTTGCGAGTATTTGAGCGTGTTTTGCGGGTATGTGTCCACATGCGTCCACGCAACAGACTATATGAGAACGGAGAAGCCGCCGCAATAGCCAAACATGCACCGAAAAACGCCCGATTAGCTTTTTTATGCTACGAAACACCCAATGGACACAAATTTATGTAGCGAATGAAGATCCAGGCTACAACAGGCCAGAGCACCGAGTTTTAGGGTTGGGAAGGCGCTGGATTCCCATGATTTAACCACTCAATGAACCCACAAAAAAGGTGCGGTAAACAGGTGTTCCCCTGGTTCCTTTCTTGCAACATGAACATGCGGGGTTGCTCCGAGCTCCAAAAGATCAAACTAGGGTAGAAGCTTGGTCAAGAATTTTCTTTGGTTTCTCTTCCATGTCTGCATAGGATCAGGTCTCAGTCCTTTCAACCCCGGACCGATCCTGGTTTTTCGAGTAGCCCCTGCCAAGAAGTCTGCCGCATTGTCTCCCTCCACAAGAAGTCGGCATGCTTGCTAGCAAATCTGCCCCCGCACGGGAAAGCTGGATGTGCAAATTCAAGCAGCCTAATTTGGAGAGGCAATCCCACTTCGTTCGGTTCCCTGCAGCGCATCAGCAGTGGCAATCCTAGCGTGTCTATGCTTTGTAACGTAGGGCTACTCTTGCCCACATTGACTCGACAACTCTTGACACATGCATTTGGGCTTCCCCAGCAGTGCTCCGCAGATCAAAATCTTGCGTGTACACGACAAAGCTCAACATTAGAAGTTGATTGAGGAGGATAACAACGACGAATGCCCCACGTTTGTCAAGGAGTATTGCCAAATCATTAAAGCCTAACAGGGTCTACCTGATGCCCACTAAATACCAATCCAAACCACAAAAGGGGAAAGCTGGGCTTTCCGTGCGGTTTCTTGCGGCTAGGTCGACAATGTCGTGGAGCTCTTCGATCACATCGACGTTGACTGGAACGGCAGCATCTCAGTGGAGGCACTGGTCTCGGGCGATGCTCGATGGTCTACTTGGCTGAGATAAATTTGTCCCCCCCACAAAAGACAAGGGACTCACTCATTTGTCCATGTCCTTGAAAAGCAACATGCTTCATGATTGTCCGTTTCACCCCAGTTTGAGCCGTTTTCTGCAACAGCTGAAAGCTATAGAGTCTCTGCCCAGATATGCTTTGGGGTGGTTCGGGGCAGTTGAGGGAGGGTTCTGGAGGGTTCCGGGGGGTTCCGAGGCTGTTGGCGACAACACCTACTGGCGTTCTTCCTCTTTTTTGGGGCCGGGGGGGGGGGTTGAGGGGTTCACATGAGAATTCCCCTTCATTGGAATCATGCATTCTTTCATTCAGTCAGTCATTCAGGCAGTCAGCAAGTCAGTCGGTCATCATGACCTGCGCTTGCTTCAGGAGCTACTGAACGTGCTGGATTCGCCGTTGGAGGCCCGGACGCCTCCAAAGCCGGGAGGTCCTTCCCTTCCCTCCGCGGCCTCGGATCCGAGGGGGTGCTCCGAAGACAAAAACATGCGTCACCCCAACTCTTTAATTTAGACCAACAGCCAACTGGGTGCGGCCGCCTTTGGAGAACTCTGTACATGGTTTTGGGTAGATCAAATTCATGCCAGGTTCTGATTGAGACAGCGAGGTTTCGGACATTTTCGGACCCAAGTGGCTGATTGTCTTCCTTCTGGGTTTCTTTGAGGTGTTGTACCGAATCCGGGACAGCTGGTTCAAGGGCAGCTCCAAGGTTTGTGTAACTGTAAGAATCTCCATGGTCCAGAAGGGAAGCTTAAACCATAGGGTGTCTTTGGGTTCGGAACACATGCGTGAGAAATGCAAAGGAAGCCTTGAGCCAAGTTTTCGGGGGCGGGCGCCCACCCCTAAAACCCCTTCTGAGGGCCATCAGTTTGGGGGGGGGGGCTGAGCGTCCAGGCGAAGAGGGAAGCTTTTAGGGCCTCGTTTTGGAAGGTTTTTGGGAGGTCAAAATACGGGGAGCCCCAAACAGTGTGGTTTTCATTTTGGCTTCAAACCAGCTCCCAAAAGAGTATCCGGTATCCTTGAAAACCACACTCCCATAATTTCGTGAAGGACGCCAGGCTTGATCAGTTCTTCACCACCCCGCCCAAACCGACGTTGAACCAACCCAAACCCCCACCCAGTTCAAATACTTTTCGAGCCCAGACAAAACGCCAACCCCCAACCCACTGCCAAGAACATGGGAAATTCAAATGTCCCACTCGGAGACCACAAAACCGGGGCAAACTCATGGAACGATTGGAGGGATCGCCGGTGGCTCTATGAGTCGTGGGAGTGGCGACATTGCGAGTGCGAAGGTCATCGTGGGAGAACCATACTGGTAGTGAAGCCCTGCATACCCGCACTGTTTAGAAGAAACCCTCACCAATTATGTCTCGTCTATTATCGAGGCATCAATGGATCCTCCATAGGGGTCTGGATGTCCATTGGAAGTATGTCACCTCGAAAAGGACCCCTTTTTGCGGTCGCAAGATTCTTTTGGTATATCTTTGCAGAGAGAAACAGTGCCCACCCGGTGTGTCTTTTCGTGAACAAGATTGAACCCACCAAAATGGATTTCGGTTGGCTTTCCTTTCGGTTTCCCTTTAACGCCCCACCAAAAAGGGGTAATCCCCCAAGAAATGAAGAAATGACAGACTACCAACATGCATGGATTGTGTTGTTCCTTTTTTTCTCCCTTAAACAACAAACAAAAAAGTACTTCCCCAAACAAAAGGACAGCCCCGCCCCCGTTGGGCTGATCCACTTTCGTTTGGAACGAGCGGCTCGCCTCTCACGCGAGGACATCCAGCGCCGGGAGCGGCAGCGCCAGCGCCAGGAGGTGAAGCGCATCTTCGAGGCGCGTCCAAAGCGGGCGGGGGAGGCGGTGACGCGCTTTCGGGGAGGAGACCTCCAGTGGTGGTTTTTGGTTGTCTTTGGCTTGGGAGGGTCTGCCTGGAGTCTCAAACTACCCAATTGGAGGCGACCTCCGGTGGTCGTTTTCTTTTGGTTTCGGGAGGGGGCGGGAGGGGCCCGCCGGCCTGGATTTTGGTTCGAACCCAATTTTTGGTTGTTGCCCCCCGAAAAAATGGGGCTGGGGGGTTTCCTCGGTTTTTGAAGGGCAGTTTGAGGGCACGTCCGCTTCTTGTTGCGGGGGGGGGGGGGGGCTCGCAATTTGTTGGCAATTTAGGGTTCGTGGATATATGGTTGGCCTTCGATATTTGCAAGGGGGGGGGGGTCTTGCCGACCTTAGACATTGGTTGGCGTTTTGGGGGGGGGGGGGGGGAACTTCCCACCAGAAAGAATGAGTCCGAGCACTTTGCGCAGATAAGCTCAACCTGACCCTGGGTTATTCAGTCGATGCCCTGGACCAAGTTTGGTTTCTGTTTGGTACGTCCTTGAACCCTACCTTTTGGATGACTATGTTCCCACTAATGTTGACCCCGGATTAGTAACCCCATCCTGCAAAAAGGGGGGGGTGCCCCAGGAATCAACCAGATGTTTATGAATCCGTCCCCACTCACCAGTAAAAAGGCCTAACCTTTTGCAGGGGTCTAAGACCAATCAAGAAAAGTTGGGCGGGGGGCTCTTTAAGGTTGGTTTAAAAGGAAACCAAAAGGAGACACACAATTTTTAGGGGGTCTCCCTGCTTTGACGTATACCCGCATGAAACAAATCAGCAATCCCATTATATACAGAGTCATATTGCTCTGCCTTTATCGAATCTCCCTAAGGGTCGGACCTCTTTTTGGATTCCATGTCAATCCATGCCTGGCACCAGGGGTTTTAGGTTGTCATTTTTTGTGATCCCTGTCAGGAAATGCACCTCGAAGATGCATGTCCGGTTTTCCGTTTTCCGTTCGGCTCCCGTTAAACAGCTATCCTCCAAAGACACATGTCCACCTTTTCAAGGACAACTCTACACCGAATTTGGTTGAGTTGGCTTCAGCAACAAGCCACAGTGTCCGGGCAACAAGCGCATGAAGAGGTTCTTGCCCCCTTGGCTTGGCAAATGCCCAGCATCCACAACTCCTGGCCATTCTAGAAGGTGGTTCTACCACCTGGTGGGGGTTATAGCAAGGCCTATATATGGGGGTGCCTGTTTTCGGGGGATCTCTGGTTGTCCTTTTGGTTCCAGTTTAAAACCCAACCAACATGGTGTCCCCTAAACATGACACACCCATATACACTGTTCATCAGCATAGAACCCGAAGATCTCTTGGTCTCTGCCGGCGAGGAGCTGGCGCGGAGCATTTGCGAGAAGTTCGGCAGCATCGAGGCACGTGGCTCACGTGCGCTTGGAACAAAGAGGGGGGGGGTCAAGGTACTGGGCGCCAACTTTTTGGAGTGGCTCAAGGAGCCAAGAGGAAACCAAATGGAAGGGAAAATGAAGAAATCGGCCGAGGGCTCTATTGCCTTAATATGTCGGCCGACAAAATTTGAGCCGGACTCTGAGCAGATGCTCTTGATGTACTCACATGGTTGCACCTCACGTATGAACGAATTGCAGCAGGATAGGAACAAGTTGGAGCCATGGGAACCAAACCACTGACGTCGCCTGGCCAAGGGCAACGGAAGTTGATTTTTTGTTTTGAGGGTACCGTTTTTGCGCGGTAAAGGGCAACCAGGGGTCTTCTATACAAAGACACACCAACGACAAACTGACTCGGAATCGTGTCCCAGAAATAATAGTCTGAAGAGCTCGGCGAAAGACAAGTTGCGTTCTGCAAGTTTGGACACCTGAGCCCGCCTGGTGCTACTACCTTTGTCATATATGAGGATCTGGTCTTGGCCCACAAACCATTCTAGCCATGTCGGTAGACTCCACATATATAGTTTGACAAGCGCTTTAGAAAACCCCATGTGCTATGCTCGAGCCTTGTATTTTGTTGTGTGTTTCTCAAGATAGGGGTCCGTTTTTGATAGCTGAGGGAACCCCCGAAGGAAACCAATCCACCTGACATTCCCTCAACCAACTTCCTTTGACCCAACACACCCAGGGTCCGTTGGTAAGCCAAGATGAGCACACCTGGCAACGTTCTTGAGCCAACGCCAATCCCGATGTCTTCAATCACGTCATTTGACACTCGTTACCCGTCCTTTGGTACCTAAGGAGGTACCAAAGGACCGCTTTTTACCAACCAACAGCCATCATCAGGGTTACTGGCCTGTTTGTTTTCCCTGATCAAAGCCACCCAAGTGATAGGTTCAAGGGACACCACCCCAGTTTCTGACTTGGCCCCCAGAAACCGGTCAAACAAAAATAGACCCCCAGGGTTGCAGCCAGCGCGGGTTTCTCCGCCGGGGGCCACCAGCGCTAGGACGCCTTCGCGAAGCACGGGCTGCACGGCACCGGGTCCTCGCTGTCGCTGGCGCAGCCCGCGCCCCACGGGAAGCCTCAGGGAGCGGATCTGATCCGTTGGGCGGGGCGGGGGCGCTGGATTTGATTTTGGTGAAGTCCGCTCACTTTCTGAGAGTTGATGGACTGTTTACCGTTCACTTCATGGTTTTTTGTCTACTGGAATCATCTGAATACAAAGACTTGTTGGGAAGACCACTTTAGTGGCAAACAGAAAGTTTGGAGTTTGTTTTGTTTGGAGCATCCACTCAGGAAGTGAGTCAATTTCGCACCATTCAGAAACCCAACGGAATGATTCGATTCCTCAAGGTAAATCCAACTATCGTTGAGAAATGGAGTTCGCAACCGTCCACAGTATGAATTTGAATGAGGAACCCAATTTAACAGTTGGACATCAATCGCCACTTAAAAGGATGTCGACCAACAAAACATATTTACGCAATAAAAAAATGCACATGGGCCCAAAGCCTGATAGGCACTTGGCCACGTTGAACTGAAGTTCCTGCTGGTTTCTATGATTTGGGCATGTCTTGAAAAAGCCCGGTGCCCCAGCATGGATGTGGGTTTTCCTGTTGGTTTCCTGTAAAACCATCCCAAACATATTCCCTCAAAGAAAGGCAAAGCCATTTTGAGGTTGCAGCAAGCTTTTGAGGTTGCACCGCCCAGGTTCGGCAAGTTGGCCAAACAGTTGGACATCGAGCTGGAAGCAGGTGTCATGCAACGGGTCTTCAATGAGATCGATGAGGACCCGGGGATCGAATCCACTCCATGTAGGAATTATGTGAGTGAGTCGGGCAATATTACCAGTCTATGGTCTATTTGGGAGGGATGTGGGGGACTCGCGAAACTACCCTACAACATCAGAGGGCACACTTTACTTTCAGTTTTTATTTGAACTCCGCCCACAGTGTAGTTCACCATTTTGACCCGACCATTTGTTCCTTGGTTGGTGTAGGGTGCCAAGGAGATTTCAGCTTGCATCACGTGAAGCATCTCACTGTCTTGCAAGACTTCAGTTCGGGTCGTCCAATTGAAGCCCGATCGAAGTGCTCGTCTAAATTTCTCACAAACACCGGGGGGCTCCATCTCTTTGGCAGAACTGGAACGGAAGCAGTCACCTTGCGAGCCCTTTTGGCCCGGAATCGCAGGATCGCACAGGCAGCATCTCAGTGCAAGAGTTGCAAAAGGCCCTGATGTACCACATTGTCAGCTACGTGGTGGAACCTCGGCTGCGGCTCATCAACTGGGTAAAATTGCTCACGAGCTCATCGATTGAGGGCGGACATTTCGGAGTCGCCGATCGTGGGTAAGGAATGTGAATGTTTTTCCCAAAGGGGGCAGCACTGGTTTTGCATGGCGATCGCCTGTTGCAACCTGCGGTTGCCCTTCAGCCCCTGTTTTGGGGGAGGTGTCTTCCAGGTTTTGTTTGGACCCAAGAGATCGCCTTTGAAAACCACCAAACTCGGTTCCTTCAGGGTCCCTTACAGGACGCATTTTGGTGAATCACATTTACCCTTCCAAAAAGGTTCCTCGGTTTTTGCTCTTGTTCTGCTTGGGGTATGGACTTGTCCCGCGGGCGGGGGGGGGGGGCGTTGAGTGGACCGCTTAGGTGGAGATCGCCAACCAAACTAGCTTTTGTTTGACAGGATTTCTGGGTATCTGTGCGTCTTGGGTCAGCTTGGTTTGGAGTAAATGGGCAGCATTGCAGCAACCCTCTAACCACCAAACCACACATGCAATCCACAAATGGGGGGGGAGCTGATTGGGGATTTCTGCCTGGGAAATGCTCCTCAATTGGAGATCTCTTTTCTGGGGAGCCGGTTCTCAACGGACACACGTAAACTGACCCTCGAGATCGCTGGTGAAAGGATCTTTGGAGATCAACCTGAGGTGGAGATCTGGCGAAAACCCACCAACAGAGGTTGGGCCTTTGGTTACCCCCCCCCCTCCAAAGGAGCCGGGGCCTTTTGTTTGGGTGATTTTGAACACCACGTGTTTGGAAGGTATCCAGGCTGGTTTTCTTTGGTCTTTCGACCGGCATCCGGTACTCAAAACTGTACCCCACTTCGATGTGTGTGTTATAGCCTATTGGTTACCAAGAACTTGCGAACTAGGCGAATCGAGCACCCGGGTCGCGATCGCGCGCCTTAGGGTTCCTTGTGGTTCCCGAAACAGGTTTTTTAAGGCCCCGCCCCCCCACTCCCCGGTGAGCTTCGACTCTGAGCTGTCCGAGTCCGATTAAAAATCCGCTCCCAGACCCTCTAGATTTTCACTAAAGAGGTTCCAGCTGACTGGTTCCACTGTTCAGGGGGGGTCCGTGTAAAGAGGGTCCAACATTAGACCATTTTAGTATCGGGTTTTGGAGCAAGTGACTCAAATACACCAACAGAACAAGCGACTCAAAACCTGCTTGCTTGCGACTCCTCGAGTTGTCCGAGTCCTTGTCCGAGTCGGAGTCTCCGAGTTTTCGAGTGGCGGGAACCCTCAGGTGGAGATCGCCCACTTCTTGGAGCAGAAGGGCGGCCTCGTGGAGGCCTTCGCCTCCCTCGGGGAGATCTCCTCCGCGCCTTCGGCGAGCTCGAGCGCTCGCGGGGTAGAGCGAGCGAGCTCCGTTTTTTTTCTTTCTCTTTTTTTTGGAGGGGTTTATTAGTGGTGACCCACGTATATATAATATATAAACATATATATATATAATATAATCTCTCTCTCTCCCTATATATATATATGAATCAACCAACCAGTTTATTTATAGGGTGTCTGCTTCTCCCGGGACATGGAGAACGTGTTTCATGCATGGGCTGCGCAGAGAAACCGAGGACATGGGTGAAATGTGGGAATTGGCCATTTTTGGAGGGAAACAATCCCCCTATGCATAAACTGGTGTTGATTCATATGGGGTCAACAGTATGAGCTCACCATAAAGGTCCATCTACTGACCCGTTTATGGCCAGCTTTTGGCCGGGGCTCAACTCATGTAAGGTGGTTTCATTAAGTTGTAGTGTTAGTTTAGATTGGAAAAGAAGATCTCAGGAAGCGGTGTCCCATCTGGAGACATGTATTCCATCGGCAGCGAAACCGAAACCTGGGCGCTCCTCTTCGCTCTTTGTCATTGGCTCCCTAGAAATCCTCGGCTCCAGTGGGAGCAAAGAACGGGCCTTTTACCTTGGTGGTTGGTGCCATCCCTTGAACTTTGTACTAGACGTGGACCACTTGTTGCGAGGGCTGGCAGTTCGACCAACCCATGGTTGCTTGAGGGAAATACCCCAACTTCAGCACCTGGAGTTAACCGGAGATTTCCTTAAAGAAAGCATGATCCCTTTGAAAGAGAACCCTGAGTTCCCCAAGAATTCCCTTCAAATCTATCCCCCAAGTTGCTGTTCTCAGAACCAAATGTTTCAGAAGGGTATCCCTTACCAACCGACCCTTTAAAACCATGCCTTTTAAAGCCGTTCCCTCAAGGCCGCATCCCCTGCAAAGACTGCTGTAAAAAGCCATCCCCACTAGTGTCAAAATGTTCCTGTTAAAGGACACGTCCCAATGACAAGACCCGTTTAAGGCAAGCCTAAAACACGAGGCTTCCTTTGAAACCACCATCTGCCATGTCAGGGAAACCCGTTCGAGACCCCTTCATCTGAAGGAAGAAACCAAATCAAAGGTTACCAAAGGTCCCCTTGAAATGGACACTTTAAATAGGTCGCCCAACCCATTTAAAGAGATCCCAAACCAAAGCCCATGGTTCGAAGGCAAACCATGGTCTTTCCGGTGACCTGGTACCGAAATTTTGGGCCGACTGCCTCGGATGGACCGAATCCACTCAGCGCTCGCTCGCTCGCTCGCTCGCTCGGTGAGGTGCTGCCGCCGGCGCCCTCCACGCCCGGGGCGCCGAAGCCGCCCCCGCGGCTGCCCGGAGAGGCACGGGGCACACGGCCGGCCCCCCGGAAAGGCGGAAAAACTATACCCCCACGGAAGTTACAGTAAACTGACCCCCCCACCCTAAGAAAGTCGACTCTTGAAGACGGCCCCCCCTAAGAAACTAGACTTTGGAAGACTTTAAAAGAATCGTGACTTTTTCAACTGGAAGGGAAGGGGGGGGATGGGAAGGCGGCAGGCATTTAGAACCGCCCATCAGGCGAGCTCACCTAGCAAAAAAAGCCTATGAAGGTGTCTTTCGGATCCATGTCTGACTTCATGAAGGTTTTAGAACCTGCAGTTTCTGTTTACAGCTTGCCGCAGGCAGAGGAGCCGGTTTGGAATGGCAGTGACTGGCAGTGTGTCGAATTGAACACGGTGTGTCCTTGTGGTTCTCCCACAAATTGAACATACCTTTTTACATTGCTTCACAGACTTAGCTGTACCGCGCTAAGCAGCTGAAGCTGTAAGATGACCCTGCCTCCTTCGGTGGATCTTCCCCGGCACTGACAGGCAAGCTTGCTTTCGGATTTTTGTCTTGTGAGAACAACTAAGTTGGCCATTTACATAAGTGTAATTCTGGAACCTCCGTACTTCCAAGTCCATGCCCGACGTAATTGCTGCCCTTGACCGACCTGGAAACCGAAACACATGAGACACGGCAGGAAGGCGTCTCGGAGGAGAAGTTTCTGCGGGTTTTGCGACAGCTCAAGGCCAGAGGGGGGCGGCGAATTTAGTAGCCAGTTTTGCAAGTTCGGGGTAAGTGCGGAAAGGGAATTCCCTCAACTCAAATATGTTCGGCTGTTTCCGCATCTCTCTTTGCATCTCGCGGAAATGAGACGGCCTCATCTCCTGAATCACAGCCGAAATCACCTGCACAAAGGGATGTAGAAAAGTTGGTAGACATGAATCCCGTGCAAATGCTATCCAAAGGGTTCCCAATTCGAATTCAGACCCGCGAGTTGTTTGGGGGAGCAACACCTTGGATCGGTGTGACAGGGTGGGACCTGAAGGGCGGCGGGCAAATTAGTTCACGAGCCCACCGGAGAGAATCGCCCAGAGAATCGCCCGCCCTAAGAATGTTGGGACGTCCGCAAGGACCTTGTCGAGGTCCAAATCCTTCCAATGGAGATCCTTTTCCCATCCAGTGGAGGGTCACATGATGCTTAGGGCTTCGAAATTATGTGAAGTATAGGCTTCGTTTGGTGGGTAACTGTCTCGACTTACTAAATCACCTTCCCATGTTTTATACGAAGAGGTCTGGTCATAGTTTCAAGTTGGCTATTCTTGATTTGGGGGTTGATCAATATGCCTGGCCCCCAAATGACCACAGGTAACTTGTCCCGTTTGGTGGGGAGGGGGTCAGTTTTTGTTTCGGAATCCCTAATTTCTGCAATACAATGGAAACCCCCTTTTCGGTGATAAGTCATGGGAAGGCCTTTGGTATCCTCTAGTTGTCCAAAGCCGACCTGTTCACCTTTTCGTTTTCCTATGTTGCTCCACTTTTGGCGGCCCAACAGGTCATCACCTTTTGTTTCCAGGTCCTCTACACAAGTCCTGGTATCACAGGCTGATTTTCCACCATGTCAGTCCTAAGGGTGTGTCTGTGTGTGAGATTTTTGAGGGTTCTTTTTTTTGCTTTTCTGGGGTCGTTTCAAGGGACACCAGGAGGAAAACCGTTGGGGCCAGTTTGTGGGGTCTTGGTGCACGGAGGTAGCGGGGTTCCGCAGGTCCTGGATCACATCACGGAAAGTGCCGCCCAGCGCCGGTGCCAAGAGACGGCCAAAGCTTTGAGAGGCTTGTGGGATCACTCGGGGTTTATCCCCCCACTTCTGTGATACTCTTGGGAATCTCCCCCTCTTTATATGGGGAGGGTTAAGTCTTTGTGGTTAGACCCTTTCTGTTGCATCACAGAAGTGGATTCCATTTCCCACGGCCCTGTTTGAGAGGGACTGGCGGGGTGAAAGATCACTCCTTAAGCTGCCCGTAGTTTGTTGTCTTTGTTTTGAGAGTTTGCTTTTACCCTCATGTCTAGAAAGCATTCAATCCACCAGAGGGGCCATTTTAAAGGAACATGGTCTTCCAGGACCCTGCAACGTGAGGTTCCATGTTAGCGGACAGGAAGGTAGTCGAGGTTCTTTTCGTCAATCCCGAAGTTTTTGTTGCAAGGGTGATGTTTAAGGGATGCCCATGGAGTTTCACGAGCACCCGTCAAAATGCTCCCTGAAACGTAAAAACCCATGATGGGCATGATGTCCTCCAATGGTCCAATCGCCCCCCCCCCCCCCCAAAGAAATAAACTCATCATTGTGATTCTGGAGGTAAACATTGCATTCATAATGGCACTTTGCAGAGAGGTCATATTTGAATGGTGCAATGTTTCTGTGAGCCATTGAAGATCCGGTTGCCTAAGGTTTAGCCAAACGCTCTCAGCGCTTAGAGCCAGCTCACCTAGGATCTAGAACCCTAGAACCAGCTCACTTAGCTACTACATGACCAGGAAACTCCAAAGACCGCTCTATAAAAGGAAGAGAAAAGGACCTAGCCACTCACAGACTTTCTGCCTGGTTTGGTCATTGTGCGGTGCGGAGCGAGCAGCCCTGCCAGTTTGCGAAGCCAAGTTTCCCTTTCGGGGTTTGGGCGCAAGCTGCCCGCACCTTGCCAAGGATGATCTACGCTGGCCTGAAGCCCTTCACTATGGAGGTGCAATTCCATGCTCAACTCAGGAAGTGGTTGTGGTTGCACGAGGATTCATGTCCACTTGGGGTACAAGGGGTCAACTCATCCAATTCGAGCCGGGACAATGAGCGGACCTTATCAAAACCGATTTTGGGTCGATGAAGGCAACCAACAAACATACTTTGTTACAGGCTTGTGGGGTGTTTGTTTTTATCACTCGTTTGATGCGCGCCCAAGCCCCCATTGGCCATTTCAGTCGACACTTCTATATTGGTTTCATGGGGTCACAACAATGGCAACCCATAATTAATAATTAAACCACTGGATCATGAATAGGGGGGGTCCTTCCCTTTGGGGGAGGGGGATACCCCCAAAACTCCACTGTTGATCACCGTTTGTAGGATTAATGGAAAAGCCTGTTGTGTCCAAAAGGTGCAAACTCCTGCATGAGTTGACAGTGGTTGCCCCAGTATTCAAGGCTTTCCTCCATCCCAACTGGTACAGGACTTTGTGAATCCAAAGGTGTCTACCAAGAGGAAGCCCAAAATAGCTGTTCTCTCGTTGGTTTCACTTCTAGCTGGCCTGGCTACCTCTGGGATCTCCAAACCATCCAAAGAAAAGATCCGCTAGACACGTGGTATTGTTCGTCGGTGACGCTCTGTGTGGGATAGGGGAAACTAAAGGGAAACCTAAGTTTGGAGCCCCAAACGGAAGCAAGGCAAGCGGAAAAGAGAAGGGGACTCTACAAGAAATCCGACGAGTGTTCATACCATGCTGGGTTCAAGCGGAAGCCAACGGAACGAATTGAAGCAACAGCGGAGCTCTTTCAGAAAGTCCAAATGGGTAAGCTACAGGGAACCACACAACCCCCCTCTCCCCAACCAGGTTTCTCAGGAACCATATATCTTGCGGCGAACTCCAATTCTACCAGCGCAAAAATAAAGTTGATGCAGGCCATACTATGACTCCGGATTATTCAGCCTCCTTTTGCTTGGGGAGAGAACCCCACGTATGTGATAGTGACTCCTTATGAGTAATACATGAGTGAAATACCTGAGTGAAATACATGAGTTTTTTCCCCTGATTGTTTCCCCTGAAGCCTTCACCGGATTTGTTTCCCCTGCCGTTTCGGCCAGGACTTTGTGCGGAGACTTCAGGAGGAGCACAGCCTGGCCAGCGAGCTGAAGCGGCGCCTGCAGGAGGACTCCGAGAGGCGTGCGCGTTGGTTGCCTAGGCAAGGGGCCAGAGCTCCAGTGGTGCCCTTCCATTTGGTTATGAATATTTATGTTATTTTCCCCTTTTGGTTTTAAAGGGAATCTATCACTACTGGATTTTGTTTATTTCTTCTCTGTTTTCCGGGGATTTAAGCAAATGGAGGTAAAGTAAACCAACCACAGGAAGGGCCCTGATGTTGAGAAACACCCATGCCTTGAGTTTCATTGTAAACCCTTTGGTGCGCATTCAGGCGGGGATTCATCCAGCAAGCACATTTCAGGGGTTCCCTACAAAGAGGTGCTCGTCTTGAAGAAGCAAACTGGCTATGAAGTCAACACGCCAAATGGTGTTCAACAATCATGAGGTTGCGAGGTACTTAAAATTGGTTCTGGGGTTGTGGGGTACAAAAACGGGGTCTTCTTCAAGCAACAAACGGCGGTTCTTGCGCACGTGTCACGTGAGATTCCGCGAGGCACGAGAAGGAGCGCAAGAGACGCCTGGCCAAGAGTCTGCAGATTGACTCCAAAGAACGGGCGGCCAAGGAGATGGGGTGGAGCCAGAGCACCCAAAACGGGTCCAAAAATGACTGCTGTCCTCTATGAATCATGTGATTTTGCGGGAAAAGACGCGATGTGCATGTTCTGACACTCTCTTCAAAAAATGGCTGCTGCCCTCTTTTGATCTTTTTTAATTGTCGGGGAAATGTCGTGACTGTGTATGATGTAAATCAACGGTGTGCACCTCTCAGCTAGTCTATCAGATCTGCGAAAGCGCACAAGATAAGCTCAGAACGGTTCAACTGTTCACTCGTGGACATCAAGGGCCGGGGTCTCCGAATATTAACAGATCTGTATTTGGCTGATAAGGCCACCGCTTTCAAAGCCGACTGCTCTCTTGAGTGGGTGTGCTTGTCATGCCACGGCGTTCATGCCTCGACTGCGGGCTTCATGCAATCAAACCTGGCGCGCGGGTGGCTTGGAACAATGGACCTCCCTTTTGGATCAGTTGACTTCAAGAGGGGCCCATGACTTTCCCAGTCTCACATGACTTGAAAGAAACTTGACAGAGTTTAACCCCAGCGAGGCAGCCTCGGTTTGTATTTGGGACCGTAAGATATGAGAGTGGTAGTACATCATTGGACCCAAGCTGGCAAGTCGCTCAGAGGTCCAAAAGTACTGGGACACTAAGATTGCTCCTTGCCTGGTGCATCTTTACTTCTAGTCTGCAAGTTGTGGTACTTGTTCGCCGACACTGGAAAAGAACATGAAGAACCTTGCTAGCTGGCGTGCTTCTGCTGCAGGACATTGATGCTTGGCTAGAGAAGGCGTCTGCCGCCAGAGAGGCTGGTCTTGGGAGCAAAGTGGTGGGCAGGCTGTACCAGACTGGATATCTGGCCATCATATGGCGAGCTCACTGTTGCTTGGGGCTCCCTCATTTTAGGCGTCAGACGATTTTGTGTAGAACTCGGCCAGGTATAAGAGCATTTCCCGAACTTGCCTTCTAGTTGGTTTCCTTGTTTGAAGTGAGGGGTCAAACGTGGCTGCAAACTAAGCACGGGACAATCCCTTGCGGTATTGCCCGCTAACCATAGGCCATAAGCATTAGTTTTTGGGAGGGGCTCAGAGACGCAGCAGGGGCTCGGAGACGCAGCTGATCAGTTATTTGATTCTTTAATGTCCACGTAGGATTAACAAATGCACCTGTAATAAAGACAAATGGGGGGCCCAAAATAATTAATAAATGCACCTAGAATAAAGACAAGCCCCTGCCCCCCCCGCCCATGAAAAAAAATGTCCCCCCAAAAAAAAAGTCACAAAAAAAGTCTCAAAAAGAAGAGAGAAAGAGAGAAAGGATAGGAAGGAGAGGAGAGATAGCCACCCCTTGTCCTTGGATCTTTGGCACCTTGCTCTTGGCACCTGCTTCTTTCCTCACCCAGTAGCTCAAAGCTTTCTCTGGGCAGCATGCTAAGCAGGCTGTGTACCTGCACTTTGAGCACCTGAAAAGTGCAGCTTTGGCTTTCCAAACTGCTTCTCTGGCATCTGGGCTCAAATCTTTGTGGGTGAAATACTGTGAATTCTGCTCAAAAGCTGCCTTTGCTGCTTGAGCTGTCTTGGAGTTCTGATCTTTTGCCTTGGCAAGAATCTCCAAGGCTTTCATTCTTCTTTGCTCCTGCTGCTCTTCAAGCTTCTTTTCCCTTTCTTTTGCTTTGGCCACTTCTGCATGAACTTTCTCAACTTCTAGCTGCAACTGCTTGTACAGTGCTTCCAACCTCTTGTCCCAGCTCTGGGCCAGCACACCTGGCCAGCCTCTGGCAGCTGGGCCTTCTGAAGCTAGCTCTGCCAGCTCTGCCTCAATGTAAGACAGAACTAGCTGGCCACTTTCTGAGGCTGTTTGCCTGCAGCTGTTGCACCTGGCTGGCACTTCTGGCAACTCTGAGGCAGCTGTGAGAGCTTGCATTGCTATTGCTGCCTTGTGCTTGCAATCTGCATGCTCATCTGCCAAGGTGTCCCTGTAGCAGAACTGCCAGGCTGCATCTGGACTGGACCTGTGGCCAACTAGTAAGGCCCAGTGAGCTGGGCTGCCCAGAACTGGCACAAAAATGTGCACCTTGTTGCTTGCCAGCTGCTGGATCTCTTCTTTCCACCTTTCTTCTTTGTCAATCTTGTAGGCGCACTCTGCATCCACAAGCTGGCAGCTCTCCAAGAACTCATGGCCTGAGAACTGCCATCTGAGCAGGTGCCAGCTCAAAGCTATGTGGCCACCCTCCAGCATGTTCATCTTTGGTGGCTCTGGCACAACTGCTTCTGCTTTCACTCCCAGGGCTGGCATGCAACCTGAAAGCTGCAGGAACTCCTGCTTTTTCAACCTGCCAAGCTGTGTGAACTGCTTCCACACAGCTGCCTTCTTCCAGGAACTGTCTTTCAACTGCAAGTGCTGCTGATGGCAACTCATCACACCATAATCTGTGAAGATTGAAGCTTTTCCATCTGTCTGTGCATCTGCAAAACTGCCTTCTTTGCCATACTGCAAGGCACCTGCTTCTTCCTTCACAACTCTCAACTCCTCTCCTTTCTTGAAAGGCAACTGCAAGTCCTCAACTGGCTCTGCAGCCTTTGCAGCCTTCTTCTCAACTTCATCTTCTTTCAAGGCTAGCAGCAGAGCTTTGTCCTTGATGGCCTTCTTCTTGCTCTTGGCTAGCTCTTTCTTCACAAGGCTACCTTTCTCCTTCAAACTTGGCTTTGATTTGGATGAAGCTTTGAGGATCAAAGAGGGCTTCAACTTTGCTGAATCTTTGGTCTTCAAAGAAGACTTTCCCTTTGCCTTGGCCTTTGCTTGTGCAACTGGAATTATGTCTTCCATGGCTTCTCGCTTTGACATCTTTGCCAGCTTGCTCCTGATCTCTGCAAAACTCAACCTTGAAGCAGCTTTCCTTGCAGCTTGCCTGGCAGCTTTCAGCTTTGCCTTGTTGGCTGCCAACTTGACAAGCTCTTGCCAACTATCTTGCTGAGCTTTCCTTCTGATGTGAGCTCTCCTCAAACCTGGGCTCATCCTCAGGAACAAACTGTTCCAAAGTGGAACTTGCAGCTCTGTTGCTATCTCATCTTCATTGGGTATGTCAAGGGTGTCCCCACCTCCATCTGCATCTCCAGCTTCCTCTCCACCTTCATCTGTTTCAGCTGGGTTCTTGTAGCTCCACTCTATCAAGTCAGCTACCTGCGTGGCGCTGGAACTCAGGGCAAAATCTGCAGGCTGTGGAATTCCATCTTTGACCCAGCTGAACCTTGGCTCCAGCCAACTGTTGGGAATTCTCCTTGACCCCTGTGCCAGACCTCTTGCTTTGGCCCAACTTTCACCTAGAAAGGGCACACGCTTTCCTGCCTCTGGTGAAGCTTTGAAAGCTATGAGGCCATTCCTCACACTCCCACCCACAATCCAATCTGTGTCAACCTGTCTTTGAACTGCTTGTCTCTGAGCTCCAACTGTGGCAAGGATGATCTCTTTGTAGCCAATCTTATACTCTCTGCCATCTTTCTTAGCTGCTAGCCTTTGCTCCTCAAGCTGCTCTCTGAAACTGGCTTTGAAGCTCTTGGCAAAGTCTGTATCTGTCAACTGAAGCTGCTGTGTCATCTTTCCCAGGATCTGAGCACTTGCTTGGCAACCTGTGAACTGCCTTTGCACAACGTGTTCCTGGAAAACTGCACTGAAGCAATCTCTGATCCACAAGCTGCAAATCTCTTCTTCACATTGCTCTTCAACTATCCATGCTAGCAAAACTCCATCGCAGTTGGAACTGGGCTGTGTCATGATCTCCACCTCTTCAAACTCTTTTGGAAACTGCTTCCTCAGCTCAACTGCCCAAGCTAAGCCTCTGCACTTCTCTCCAGCTTGGTGCTCCACCTCCACACCTTTCACTTCAAACTTCTCTGTTCTCTTGTACTTGCCATTCTCATCTACATTGCTCAATCTGTTGTGCTTTCCAGGGAAAACTAACAGTCCAGGAAGCACATGTCCTTGCAGCTCCTCTTTGTTAGCTATGTTGGTCACCCTCTGCCTGGCCTCATAGGTTATGCGAAACTTCTCAGCAGCACTGTCTCCCTTCAAAACTCTGCTGCCAGCAACAACTTTGCCACCTGGCTCACCTCCATCTGCAGCTGTGATTACCTGATGGCCACCTTCTTTCCAAGCTTCCTGTGCAGCTTTCAGCTCCTCCCTGCAAGTGTTGAACTCCCTCCTCACCTCAGCCCCAACTCCTTGTAGATCTTCCTTTGAAAACACAACCTTGGTGGATGGGCTTTTGGCCCACAGGGGAACTTGATCTGACATGCCTATGCACAATCTGTGCCGGTTTGATATCACCTGGTCCACATCTGAAACTATTTGAGCTGACTCTAGCTCTTCTTTGGGAGCTGCTCCCATGAGCCACAGCTTGTGATCTATGGACTGGAAAGTCAGCTGTGCTCGCACCTTTTGCTCCAATGGAGCTAGGTGGGTGGTCTGTTCTTTGGCCATGAACTTTGCCCCCATCCACTTCAAGAGCAACTCTGTGTAGCTCTGTGCATAGCTCTTGCTCTTCTGCAACTTATTCTTCCTCTCCAGTGACTTTGCTGCTTCAATCTCCCACAACTTCTTCTGAAGCTGATCTGCGCTTTCTTCAGCTTTCTGCAAGCATCTTTCAGACCTTGCAACTAGGAGAGAGTAGAACTCTTCCCTGACCTCTCTCTTGCTGATGTTGTGGCCATTGCTCCTCTCTTCAGCTAGCCACATTCGCAGCTTCTCAATCTCCTCTCCAAAGTCATTCTTTCTTCCTCCTCCCTGAGCTCTAATACCTTTCCTGGTCCTCACACTCTTTGCTTTGCAACCTATCTTGGCACCTCCTTGAGCTCCAAGTCCCAACTTCTTTGTGAGCATCTGCCACTCTTCCTTTCTTGCATGCATATCTTTGAGCCTCCTTTTGTCTAGATTGTACTTCTGAACTGCCATCTTGTATAACTCCTCATCATCAGCACAGCTCGCCTTCATCTCCTCTAGGGAGATTGCAATCTCCAGCTTCTGCTGCGCAGTCAGCTCCCTTTTTCTAGGTGGCTCTGTAAGTGCTCTCCTGTTGCTTTTCTTGCCTCCTGAGACACCTCTGTGTGCTTGCACAACTGTTTGTTCTTCAAATCTTGGTTTTCCTCCAAGCTTTCTTCTTTTCTTGATCCAATCTAAGAAACCTTCATCTGTTTCTGTGTGTATCTCTGCAAGCTTTAGCTCATATTCTGCCTGCACCTCCTCTGCTGCTAGCTGGGCTTTGCTTTTTTGTTGCCTTTTTGACCCCCAAGCTAGCTGCATGACTGGCTTGTGATCTGTGCTTTCACCTCCCCCCCAAAACCTCTTCAAGCTGAACTGCTTCTTGCCACTGCTGCCAGTGCTGGCTGGGCTCTGTTCAGCAACTGTGGTTGGGCTTGGGCTCGCAGACTGTGGGCCACTGTTGATCTTTCTGTAAGCTGTTGTCTTTCCTTCTGGTGTCTTGAAGCTGTCACTGGTGGACCTGCGGGTCTTGACCTCAGTGGTCCTGCTTTGGCTTACTATCTTCTGAGCTTGCTCTTGGGCCTGTCTCAACATCTCATCTGCTTGTGCCTTTGCTTTTGCTAAGATCTCCATGGCCTGTCGCTTTGCTGCTTCCTGTCAAAAGCAAGCTTCAAACTTGACAAGCTACCACCTAATCATGCTGTGTGCAACATGTCCTATCCCAAGACTTTATTCCAGGGGCCCCTATAATAAAGTCTTGATGAACGGTGCCCCCCCTGAAAAATGCAACTCCCTAATTGCAGTTACCTCTTGGCTAACTACCTAGCCAACTTC